AAAAAATAGTATAATTAAGAGAATACTTAATTAGAAGTCTGGAAAGTGTATTTAATATTTCATTGCCTAGCTTGATGTATGATCCTCTGAATATCACTTAATTTTGTTTCCTAATTTACAGTGCTCCCTTGAGTTTTTGAATGATAAGGTGAACAATCAGAGGACTTACATTCTCTAGAAGACAAAGCTGCAGGGAATGTAGAATGCCTGAGCTCTAAGGGGTAAAGCCTCTAGAACAGGCTCATCTGCTGGGCCAGATGATGACTAGCCCTTACAGTAGGGAGCTGTGTAAGAAGATGAATGGGGCTGAGGCAGCTTCTGGCAGTAGCTTTTTGTAATTAACTCACCCAGAGGGAGTGTTTTTTTCTAGTTTTTACTAAGGAATTAATGTGCTAAGTGTTGCCCTATTTACCTGGTTTATGTTTCACATCAGTTGCCAATACTGACCAGTTTGTGGTGTCTGCCTGAATGCATGCATATCTCTGGGTAGTGGAGGAATTGTTGACTCTGAATATCGAAATTTAATGGTGTAGAATGTAGCTCTGAATGTTTTCTTTTCAATGTTTGAGAGTACAGGAATCAGATTGAGCAGAAATTCAGTTCTCAACAGTTTTGTGACATTGGCAACTTCCTTAATTCCTCTAAGCCTCTTCCTGATTAAAGGGAAGACAACAATAGTTCTTGCCTTATAGGAATGTTATAAACATAAAGTGAGTATATGCATTGAAACTACTGACACAGCATTTGGAAAATAGCGAGTATGCATTAACATTAGCATTCCCCATAGGATTGTTGTTTACCATAGTACATATCTATTTCATATCATGTCATAACCTAGCATCTATTCTGAAAGAGGAAAAAAATCATTTTCCTTTATTACCTTAGGGTCTCCAGCTGGAACTATAAATTATATTAAAAAGAGACAGTTGATTAATGTGTGCATATCCACATGGGAGAAACCAGTGCTGAGAAACCAAAGGAGTGGTTAGAATTTGTGTTTACATATCATCTTGGGCTAATCAAAGGAAAAGGATGTTTGTAACATTCCTGCAAGGTTTCTGGATGGAGGAGGCACAGTTTTACGGAGGTGACTAGATAGTAAGCAAGAGTGGTTTAGTAAGATTTATAATACAGATGTTATTTAGAGTCTTTCCTTTGGTTAGTATTTCCTTCCTATATAAAGTTTACACACCAAATTAACAAATGGAAAACTTGGGTCCTGTTTTTAGAACTTCTGAATCAACTGGTTCTCATTTTACATTTAGCATAAAACAATCCTTATCCCAAAGAGGAATATTCCAAGGTGACCTATTCTTACACCTTTTACTACTTATTCAGTCTTTTATTTGTTAAATTCTATTTGCATCACCATCTTTCTCCCGGATAATTTAAATAGCCACCTCTTCTGTCTTTCTGTTCCTTGTTGTAATATTATGTTAAATAGGCATGAGTAGGTATAAAATACAGCTACCAGCTGAAATTCAGGGGACATGAGAAGGGTTCAATACTAGAGAATAGAAAATATTTGGAACATCCTTTGTGGAGTAATTGGTAAGGTGTCTACAAGGATTGTTTCGAGATCCTGAGGTCAGAATTTATATTGAATTATTTTCTTACAACTTTACAATGTTTTATAATAGTGTTTTATAACCAGAATTGGAAGTAGAAAAAGTAGATGGAGGCAGTTCAGGATTGGAAATGTTGGAGCCGGTAGGAAGTAAAGAGGGCAAGGGTTGTAGGAGAGTGAGATTAAAGCTGTTGACCACAAATTCTAGGATATACAACCATGCACTTGAGCCAGAAGAAGGGAAGCTGAGAAACACAGGGAGATGTAAAAGCAAAATGAGGATAAAGAATAGACTTATGGGGGCCTCTGTGGTGGCACAGGGGTTAAATTCTCAGTGCTATCAAGCTCTCACCAGCCACTGCAGCATGAAGGCAATCCCATGCCAGGGAATTAACCTGCATGGTGCCTCAGACCTCTTGCCTGTTGCTCCCCTCAGCAGTATATTTCAGTAGAACCACTGTCTGCTCCTCACTCTGTCTCTTGTGAATCCTCTCACCCACCTCCCCCTTACCACTGACCTATACCTCAGTTCTTATATGCATCAATAAAATCTTAAAAAAATAAGTCTTATGGGCAGAAACCATGGAATCGGATGCCATGCAAATATGTTCTCTCCTGGCCTGAGACATTGACTGTGACCATGCACCACCAGGCCCTCAGTCAGGCCAACCAGTGTCAGAACATGATCCCTGTCTTCATATTTATTGAAGCTAGAGGTGCTGGACCAACACTGATTGGGTGGTTAGCATTGTTCAATTCAGATGCTCACTGGGACAGAAGGAACAACCTAGAAATATTGTTGAAAAGGACTGATAGCCAGTGATCAATACAAGTTTTACTCAGTGAAATAAATGACAAAAACTAAGGAAAGAAGGACAAATTTCAAAATTAAATGTTTTACTAGAGTACAACAACTATGGAAAACTGTTTGGAGGTTCCTCAAACTGCTTAACATGGAGCTTCCCTATGACTCAGCAATCCCACTCCTAGATAT